AACTGTTTATTGTAAAGGACATGTATCCATTACTTCTTTACAAAACCTTTGAACCACTGAAACAGATTGACAGATATCAAAACTACACTAATTCTATTCTTATAAATATCTAGGCCAAAAAAAGTATGTCCTTATCCTGACTCTTCCTGTTTTATTATTGTTTGGCTAGTGTTTGAGTAGCATGCACAATATAAAAATAATTTTTATGACTACTGATTACAGTAATCTAGACTTACTTTAAATTGAGTGTGCTACACTGAACCTGATAGTTATGGACTATATAACTGCTGACTAACAGTCTAGAGGCCTAAATAGCCAATTAAAAAAACCCTTACTAGTAACTTATAAATATAGGCTAATTGAATCGCCTTGAACATCTTTAAAAATATGTATTCCTCTTGTAGTTGCTCCGAAAATGCAGTTAAACTAAAAGTACAATGGAGTGACAAACTATAAGGCTATATGAATGTGCCCTGCCATATGTGTTCTTTGAATGCGACTTTATTTGTGAAATGAAGCGGAAAAACAGTGAAAGAAAAATATGGCATCTCTCAGATCTCTGCTTGCATTTAACAAAATTTGTCACAGCCCCAGATGTGAGTGTGTGAGAAGACGGGGGACAAAATGTGCAGTCTTAGTAAATCAAATGTTATTTGCTCATTGTGAGCACATATTGCAGTCATATCAAGGCACAGTCTGCGCTGAGGCCTTGCTCATACGTACATCTGGCCCAGAGTTCCCCCTGCTTTTACCAAGGGCTGTCTGTTCTCATTCCCCTGAGCTCTGCTCTCTCAGCCCATAATCCCTCCATGATTGGCAATGCCTTAAAGGGACTTTCTGCTGCAGTGGCAGTTGAATGCTTACTGATGGTTATTCCTTATAAATCCAGATGTTACAATGAGACAGAAATGGTGTGGAGCAACAGAGTAATATACAGTGGAGAGAAAATAAATCCACAGTAGACATTCACACACAAGACATTCCTGCAGTAATGTGACTGAGTTCACTTTAGCAAGTTCTCCTATAAGTGTAGAATATAAATGCTAATTGTTTAGTTATACAGCACATAATGGACTTGACTCTACTTATGCTTTTAAAAAGGCATGCTCTAGATTTCTGTGTCCTGTGTTGGGCTGCTCAAGTGCTTTTAAACCATTAATGAATAAAATATGATTCTTTTCTTAGGAAGTGACTGTTGTAGATCTGTGGAATGATTCATGGAAATCAGTGACAAAAGAACAAGCTGTTAATGAGGAAACTTCAGATGGCACTAACAAACTTGTAGGTTATTTAAAGGCAAGCAAGATGCACTGGACCAGCGAGGACAAGAAAAAAAAATAGACACTGCTCAGTGAACATATTTTTAGACAACTAGAAGTTATAGAGCCAAAAGTTGTAAGCAGAGGCCAAAAAGAGCTATGGAAACAGAATAATCTCATAAAACTTTCAGAGATGACAATGCGACTCCACTCCATCTTCTGTCTCTTTAAGCTGCGAATCAGAGCCGTGAACGCCTGGAAAGCCTGCTCTGTTTTATTTAAGGCTCGGGCCGCTCCAAGGGGACAGAGGTGCTGATGCTGCTCTTTTGATGATCGAGGGCCACAACCATTCACACCAGCTCTCACTTCATTCCTGGGCAGAGTGGTTGGATGTCATTCACTAGGCTCTATTTTGTGTGCGCTCTCCACCTGAACAAAAGCTCTCTTCTCTTCACATGAAAGGACATCCAAAAGCAAAGTCATCAGAGTGAAGGAGGAGAATGAAATATTGATTGGCTTTCATGTCACTTTCGTCTTGATTCTTTTACTTTTTTTCTCCTCTTGGCCTTGTCCTGTGTACGATCTGAACCCATATACAAATCAAAGTTTAAAATAATGATGGACCATTAGACACACGACAGCAGCACAGAAATCAATGGAGTGGTAAACACACAATGGAACAAGTGTGTGTTTGTCTGCGTGTGTGTGTTTGTTTGCCTGTTCTGTATGGCCAGAAATGTTTATTTTTAGAGATTTCAGGACCTTGTATATGCTTAACTATAACTAGCATGGCAACTACCGTTTGTCTTTAGCAAGGATGATCGACCTGGTTGTAAAGGCTGCTGCAGTTATGTGATAAAATTCACCTGTAAGTAACTAAACAAATGAACTAAATGACTAAAAAACTAACTGGTTAACTGCAATGCTGTGCAAAAGTCAGAGACACCCTTCATTTACTGAATTTCCAGTCAAAACAGCCAAAGTCCAAGGTGTTCATTATTCAGCATTAGGGAAAAAGTGTAAAACAGATTTTAAGAGGAAATTACAAAGGCTCAGCAACCAAATAAAATTTACATTTTTTTCAGTATTTAGTATGTAAGGATGGACAGAAACACCTGCAGATTTTTTCAAATCTAAAGGAAGAGTGGAGCTTGAATTTTTCCTCTATATCAAAGATGAAAGCTGTTTATCTGAATTATTGGCAGTTTTAGTGGTTTACCAGGTCTTGCATGGTTGTCTGGAGTCCTTTTAATCCTTAAATAACCTTTTTTTAATGAAATAACTGTTTTTTGTTTTTCATTTTCCCTTCACTTTCCCCTTCCTTATGCATTTAATTATATCTATTCTCAGAAATATCTTGTGAAAAATGAATAACTTGTACTAAATGGCTATTTTTCTAGAAATTAAATAAAAGTATTATGGGTGCTCTCTCTGGGTTGTTGATGGTTAGCCATAAATATAATTCAGACTATTGCTAAGCGGGTTATCTTTGTGTGGTTGCAATAGCTGGATTTTTCAACCTGATTTGTGACATTATAAACCACTATACTCTCTTAGATGTTTCATGAATTATTACTTTGCATTGCTCATGAATTAATACTAAGGTAGCTTGTACATGCTTTGTACCAAAAGAGATGTAGACATTTTTCATCATCTCTGATAAGCTCAAACTGAACTGTCCTTCAATAAGTGTCAGTTTCATATTCAAGATCATGGCAAATTAAGAACTCCCATAGAAATGTTTAAACCACCCCCACTCTCCAAAATTCAACCCATATATATGTCCTTGAGCTCTGTGGTAGAGATGAACACTGGAAGAACAGTGCAACAGGGCTGCTATGTGAAAGCTGTGCTTCAATTCTGAGACACTGTTCTTGTTTCTTGATTAATCAAAGAAGAGTTTCTTATTGAAGTTTCTACTTAACTCTTTTATGAATTAACAATTAAACTGTTAGATAGACCAGGTAGACCTTTATCAAGAGAGCTGGTGGTGCTTCTAGAAAATTTAGTGCCATTGTATGGACAATGGAAGTATGGTTATTTAAAGAAAGGGTGTCTGTTTTCAAATATGAATAATAATCTTGTCTCTTTTGATATATTTTTTTTAAATGCTGAATATTGCCCAGCCTAAACACTGAAACAATGATTTGGGCAAAGAGTGTTCTTAGAAAAACAAAACAAGAAAGCCTGTTCCACAGTGACATCTGTATATGGTATATAATGCAGAGATTTTAAAAATGTTGTTAACAAATGTGCATAGCAGCCAGTTGCAAATTCACTGCAAATATGAGATTTAAATATAAGCTACAGCTAGTCAATTCCTGCCTAAATGTTATTCTGATTGTCTTGTTTATTATCACAGTTGATGTGTGTGTGTGTGTGTGTGTGTGTGTGTGTGTGTGTGTGTGTGTGTGTGTTTCGGCACAGCTACCAGTAGAGAACCTCAATGCTTTACCTGATTTAGAAAATACAGAAACATGAAGAAAAACTACAACTTGCACTCAGCATGCATTCCTGTCTAGGTACATCTTTCCAGGTGATAAACACTAATTAGCTTTTGCTTGGAAACCAGCAGCAAACAATCACGCAGTGTAATCAGACCTTCTGAGAAAACTAACACCTTAGATTTCATTATAATTTGAGTCCATGTTGCACACGTAGTCGTTTTACAGAAAGGAAATTAAACTTTACTTGAACTCTACATAACATTAACATAACCATGCTATAAACATGTCATCAAGGATGTCACATGTTGTCATGACATATAGCGATAAGCCAAAACAGTATGAACACCTGTCTGATATGCTGTTAGGCTTCTGCGTGCTGCCAAAACAGCTTCTACTTAGACTCTACAAGACCTGTGAAGGTGCCCTGTAGTATCTGGCACCAAGACGTTAACAGCAGGCATCCTTTAGTCCTGTACATTGCACTGGGGAGCTGCCATGAATTGGTCTTGTTCCAGTATATCACACAGATGCTTGATCAGATTGAGATCTGGGAATTTGGAGGCCACCTTGAACTCTGTCATGTTCCTCAAACCATCCCTGAACAACAACGTGTGCAGTGTGGCTGGGTGCATTGTCGTGCTGAAGGAGGCCACATAAATTCTCAGCGTCCCAGGGTTTCCTAGAGTTTCACAATCCCTCCATCGACATATTCTTCCCACAGTGCACACTGGTGCCGTCACTTCCCCAAGAAAAAGGTGCACAAGTACCCAGCCATCCAAGTGTTTTAATGGAAAACGGGACTCATCGGACCAGATGACGTTTCATCTGCTACAAGGTCCAGTTCTGACACTCCTGTGCCCATTGTAGGCGCTTTCACTGATGGACAGAGGTTAGCATGGACAGAAGCTTTGCCGTTTCAGAGATGCACCAACCTAGTCGTCTGGCCATAACAACTTGGCTCTTGTCAGAGTCACATAGGTCTTCACATCTGCCCATTTCTTACACATTCAAAACGTCAACTGTGAGAACAGGCTGTTCACTTACCGTCTAATATATTCTAGATCTTGACATGACGCTGTTACAAGATAATCAACACTATTCTCTTCATCTGTGACTTTAGGTGTCTTGACATCAAATAATATGGCATTGTCATGACAACTACCAGTAATGGTAAGATAACATGACTTGTAACTAAACACACTTTTTATTTGAAATATTTGAATAGTATAGAAAAACTAAAGTTATAACTCTTGATTAGGACGCGTTAAGATCATGGCTGCCAGTTGAGTCTTACCAATGAGGATGAGCATGCAGACCAGCAAGGCGATGAGGGCTCCGGGGCTAAGCGCTGCAGACATGACGAAGGCCGTGGCGTTGCAAGACTGGATGTTTCCTACAGTGTCACAACCACACACGCGGATAGTGAAGGTCCCAGTGCTGCTCAGGGCCGGAGGTCCACTGTCCACCACCCGAATAGGCAACAGGTACACGTTCTGCTCTTGCCGGTTAAAACCTGAACGCTGGGTCCTGATACCTGCTGTGTTGTCTGCAGACACAATGAGAGAGGAGATAATGGGAGGAATGTTCATCACTGCTAAATTGCCAGAAATGCTAGTGCTTTTTACAGAGATGGTTAAATTGAAGCTACTATATACAGGTTAGTTCACTTGTGTTTATTTTTCTGATGTCCATAGAGGGCTAAGATATTCATAAATTAAACAGAAATGTGTGTAGTCATGCATTTATTTTTATTTTTGTAGTGAGAAGTTCTGTAAGAATACAAAAGACAGTGTAGTGCATTATAGAATCTCACCACCTGGGGTTGCGAGGATAAATTCATTTATCAATTTGCACCAAATGACATGTCTACAGTTGGTAGAAAGGACATTCAGTGTTTAGGAGGAGCTGTTTCTCTGAACATCTATTCATCAAGCATCAATTACAATCCAATCACAGAATTATAGCTTCAAAATCATCTTAAGCTGTCACTGTTTATTATATTAGAAATCAAGTTTACTATTAATCTGTCTTGATGGTTATTTGATGTATAGTCAAATCAGTACAAAGACAAATGCATATTTGAGAGTTCAGTGATGCAAAATCTATAGATACTGGTCTACAGACATGCAGAAAAAAGTGATTTTATATGTATGGTTTTTCTTGTCGTTTTTTTTATTTGGTAGGCTGAGTATATTATTAAAGGCAAAAATACTGCTGCATACAGGAGGAACCATTCAAATGAAAACTTGACGCAGCATATTGAACACTCGTGTGTGTAACTTAGCTACCTTAACCATTATTATATAATTTACACCAACATGGATTCATTCATATCACATAGTAGATAAAGCATATGAAATGAATTCAGTGATCAACTAATCCACGGAGAACGCAGCTTTAAGTGTTTGTTTTGCCAACACTTTCCTCGCAATAATAATAATAATAATAAGCTGGAATGATGCTATCACAATATAATTCTGCTGTATATTACACTTATTTGATTTAATTGATAACTGTTTATTAAACACTATGTATTTATACTACTAATAATATTTTTTTATTGTTAGTAGGCATGTGGTGACAGAAATAATTGCCAATAGGCACAGATGAAAATATGCTTAAATGAGTCTACACCTGCAGCATTCATGCGGTGTCAAATTGTCATTTGAATGGCTGTTTGGGGGGAAAAAACTATGGGTAATTTTTCCAGTATTTCAATTAACAGTGTTCAGTAAAACGTTAGATAAAAAACTATGTAGGCAAAATTCGTAGTCAAAAGTCAAAATACAAAAGCCCCCATCCACAAGACACAAGTAGTTGCTAAACAGTTTGAGTATGAAAATGATTTAAATCATATATGCTGTGGCTTCCATAGTTCTCAGCTCAGGTGAACACCAGCGGGAGATTATGGACCAACTTGTTAGACAGCGCTGTCCACCTCCATCATCAAAACACCAGTTGAGGGAATATCTTGTGGAAGAATGGTGAATCCCTCCAGTATACATGTAGAGTCTTTCCCAGGGTTCAAAGCTTTTCTGGCAGCTTGTGGTGGCCCAACACCTTACTAAGACCCTTAATACTGGCTTTTCCTTTAATTTATGGTAGTCTCTAGCAGAATCTCTGATAGCAGAATCTGTTCAAAAGCCTTTATGAATTTACTCATTTCTTTGCTGATTGATATTTGCTTATTAAGCCTGTGTGTCTAGTGGTTAAGACAAACAACAAATAAACAGTGTGCAGCTTTTGTTCCACCAAGCAAACTCCAAAGCTTAGCAGACAGATAGTGAAACAGTGGATATATGAGTGTATGTTGCACTGACAAACAGCAAATCTCAGTGAAAAAGTATGAGCCTGACTCCACTGACGGACCTGCAAACACGCACCAGAGCCATCCATCATGGGGGGCATATATCACGTCATCTAAGCGGCTCAAGCGAGAGTTCCTGATAAATACTCTCTCATATTACCAGATCTGTTCGGGGTGAAGGCAGGTTCTGCTGAGTAAAAGCATTGTGACATTGTGCTTTGACTCCTCCAGTAAATCATCTTTCAAAGACACTCTTGTTCTCATAAATGCAGTGCACAGCACTGAGAAGCATAACAAATCTTAAACATCGATTTCCAAGTCTTTAACATTAAGCACAAACTGGTAAAATAAAGTGGCAGCTCAGATGTCATAAATAACTGAAGAGAAATTTACCTTTTGGTAATATATACAATGTACGTCTTATGATTACAATGAGATCTATAATTCAACCAATTTTTTCTATCAACTTTAACAGTAGTTTGAAAACTGGTGGGAAGAATTTGGATGCTGAAAAATCTACGTCTGCATGTGATGTATGATCAGAAGATGAAGCAGACACCGGTCTAAGGAAACAGCAGAGTGGTATTGACAACCTCCAGATGAGCTGTCTACAATGAGAAAGATAAGACAAAATACGTTTTGTTTGGACTCGTCAATCAAATTTTCAACGTGTGCATTGTGAAGTAGTGTTCAGAGGAACGAGGCATTGTCATTCAAAGCACAGAGTAAAACTTTAATATGATAATATCTTGGAAGAGCCGCTTTGTCAATGGCGAAGAATAGTTTCATGCACTTCTAGCCCTGCCTAAAAAGTTTTCAGGCATGAAAAAAGCGCATGTTTGTCCTCGTGTGTCAGAACGCAGGGAGACAGAATGCAATGTGAAGCCGCCGTGGTGAAAGGGAAAAGTGACAGATCCAATCTGACAGGTTGACAAATGTGTCCATGGAATCAGAAGTATGGTAGAGAGGGGAGATAGAAAATGTGGCTTTGAGAGAGAGAGAGACTAAAGCACAGGAGAGAAGAAGAGAAGGAGAGAAAACAGAGGGGGGTGGACATGTAGGTGTAGTCTTGGAGAATATCTGGCAATGTTTTAGCTGGCTATGTACTATGTGCATGAAAAAAGACTTATTTTTGCTAATTTAATACAGTATGCATAAGAGTGTTGGTATGTATACATGTATACACTGCAAAAAGTGATAACTGGCAAGTGAAAACTTCTTTAAACTAGTCAACATATCTAATATTTCACATTTTGAGATTTGAGAATTGTCTTATTCTTTAGCCAGACAAGTTTGCTCATTTCATGAAATACTGCTTGAAAAAAATTCTAGAAATAAGTTAATCACATAATATTCTTAGAACCAGAGGTGGGCGATATGGAAACAGCAGTATATCATTATATTCCAAGACATTTTAACAATACGCATCACAACGTTTTGACACAGACAAAATACACTAGTAGTACCACATTTAAAAACTGCTAGCAAAATGGTAAGTACAAATTATTATATTTAACATTTTACATACTATTCTTCACTATATCTAATTAAACGGGACTAATTATGCTCTCTTTGTAATGAAACGTACAGTTGTTAGGTGTTCTTTAAGTCCTGACTATATCTATGATATGCTCAAAACACATAACAGTAACAAAAATTTAATATTTCCCACCCATACAATCTCAAAATGAGAAATTTTAGGCATGTTGACTAGATTTAAGATAAGAAGGTATCATTTTTTGCAGTGTATCACATATGCAGTACATATACGTATATGTGCAATGCATGCGACAACAGAAGTGTATAATCTCTGCGGAAACAGAGGCCATGTGTCATGTTCAGGCTGGTGCCTGAGTGTTTGTACGTATGTATGCCCCCAGCTGGCCTCACGCGCACTGTTGACATTTCCCTGGCTCTCTCGGCTGACATTTTCGTTGTGTCAGATCAGTATCAATCTTGATTTAGTCGTGCATCACATCCACTCACACATACATCACTATGCTAATAAACAACCCTGTTTAGTTCCGTGGGGGCAGCGTCTGGGGAAAAAAGACCCGAAATAGCCAAAAGAAAAGAAAAAAAATATTGGAGAAGCATGTGTGAAAACAATTATCTGTAGTTATTTGCACAATTAAACAAATAATGGGATGTTTCAATCTCTGTGCCGTTTTAACTACTTCTTCATTTTCAGTATTTCTGCTGTAAATGAGCCAAGAATAATACAAACAATAATGGTCCCTATGAATATATAAGCAGAGGAATAATAACTGTCCGTTCCAATTAAAACATGAAGATAATACTGCACGAAAACATGTCGGCTGTCAAAAAAACTGCAAAAATTGCTCTAGGAAAACCGTAAAATCTTAGAAGGTGCCCTGAAGGGTGCATCTATCCAAGTGTTGGCCCTATCGTTGGGAGGTCACGAGTTCAGTACACAGCCTTGTGTGGCTGGGAGTCCAAGACAGCATAATTGGCATCTCTCTGGATGTGTAGGATGGCCCTCCCTCTCCCCATTACTGAGCATGATGCTAGCCAGCACTGGTGTCTGTTAGCTGACAGAACAGAATATTCATATAGAATATTGAATGCATTATGGATTAAATGTAATTACAATTAAATAGTATAGCAAAATTAAACTAATAACTTTCTTAAAGTTAATCTGGGTCTGAGCAAGGCATACAAGCATCCTCTATTTTAATATTAGCAACTGAGATTGTACCTAACATTCTTTACCTCCCTAATAAAAAGTGAAATCTTTTGGCTTCTGTGTCTACAGCTTATATGCTAAACTTTGCTAAAGGAGAAAAAAAAACACTAGTTCAATGAAACAGTAAAGGAAACAATGGCGTCTTCTGTTTTTGATTTATTTTGTTGAAATTCTGGCTGCTGATCTTCATTTCTGTGTGAAGCAGTCTAATAAATGAACATAATTCTCACCTTTAACGTCCCACAGTGCGAAATGGCGGTTGTTGGAGGCTTCGGGCGCTAGTGTGAAATAGAAGCGGTGGCCAGACTGAGGTTCATCCCGGTCCACCACGCTGATGGTGTGAATGAGCTAGAGGGGAGGGAGAAAAAAAAGGGTGAAAATGAGAACAGAAAGAAAAAAAAATTACTAATCCTCTTTGTCATTTTCTTCTCATATCACGACTTGGTCATAACGGTAATTTGCACATTGGCTCTCTATTACAGAGCTCACAGAGCAGCAAGTGCACTTTGATGAATCACATTTTTGCTGTACATCACCGAACTGTGGGCACGGAAGTGGGTGAAATGGAGTCAAAGTGGGAACACTTGCGAAAAGGGTGTTTTCTGAAACCAGGCCCCGTTATTAAATTAGCACATCCTGTAAAGCAACAGATGGATGTGTTTAAAGGAGTGAATGGAGAAAGCGAGTGAGCACGAGAGAGAGAGAGAGTGAGAGAGAGAGGGAGGGAGGAAGGAAGGAAGGAGAGCAGGCAGCACTCCAGACAATCAAGTTGAAATTCCCATGTTCGCTTATTGCTCTTTTCTCATTACACGCTCCTCAAAAGGCTCATGCAGTATTTATGTCACTCTTCAGGGAGGCTGAGGAAATCCAAATTGGAAATTAGAGAGGACTGAAATACTTCCCTGAGCAAATCTTTCGCTTTCTCTCATTCTTAGCCACCCCTCCCTCCCCCTAAGTATGAACAAAGTCAGAGAGGGACACTCGCACAAAGGCGCGCCGACAAATAAAGGGAAGCGCACTTACAGGGAATAAAGAAGCACAATGGCGTGCACTCTCCCCTCTCTCTCCCTCTCTCTCTCTCTCTCTCTCTCTCGCACACGCACACACAGAGAGAGACAAAGTGACAGCAAGGACAAAATGCTTCTCAGGCAATGTTTATGCTCAAAGGAGACTGCATACAAACAACTTTGGTTCCTTCTCAGTGGCACTCTTCAAAATGATTAAAGGAGGAGATCCGGAGAGAAGAGCAGGTTTTTTTGGGTTTCAATCCCTTATCCTGGAGGACATGGCTGGTTTGACTAAGTCTGATTAGAGGCCGCTGCTGCTAAACTCCCTGGCGAATAATTCCGCCACTTACATGTGCCTTTAATGTGCTCTGCGCTCACTTTTTAAATTCACAGCAGGCTTCTTAAAAAAGGGAGCAAGGATAAGGGTTTCAATAATCTCTTTCTCTCTCTCTCTCTCTCTCTCTCTCTCTCTCTCTCTCTCTCTCTCTCCTCTCATATTGTGCAGTTTTTTCTTTCTTTTTGCCTCTCTTGGCTGTACTGTACTGTTTCCCCTCACTAGTGTTTTATCTTCTCTCCTTCACCGTCTGTTTCCATCCCCTCTTATCATTCCTCCTCTCCTCTAACTCCTTCTCGCTCACACTGTGACGTTGACCTCTGCCTCAGTGTGATATAACCAGTCCGCGTTTGATGTGTTTTGGCACGGGCTCACTCTTAATTGGACTAAACATCTAATTAGAGTTATAGACGCTTTCAAACCCTGGCTGCTGTGAGTCATTCTAGCGTGGAGAGAAAGAGAGCTAGAAGAGAGAGGAAAAAAGAACCTCAGGCCTTTGCTTTGTCGTTCAGTGCCCTGAACGGGGATGGTTATCACACATGCTGTGAACCTTTTGCTTGGGATAGCTGTAATTAAACAAATGGGCTAATGTAAAGGAGCGCTCAGCAAGATCTTAAGAATTAATATCTCGGCACAGCCGTCTGTGCTCTCTTTGACTCAGTCCAGCCCAAGCCTCAAAAAATGTTACACTATAAGGCCGAAAGTATGTGGACACATGACTATCACACCTATATGAGCTTGCATCCCATTTCAAAACCATGGTCGTTAATATGGAGTTGGCCCCCCTTTATGGCTGTAAAACCCTCTACTCTTATGGGAAGGCTTTCAACAAGATTTTGGCGTGTATCTGTAGGAATTTGTGCCCATTCAGTCAAGAGGGGTCAGACACTGATGTTGGAGTTCCTTCACACCAGATCTTTCAAATCATGTTTTTATAGACCTTGCTTTGTGCATAGGGACCTTCCCCAAGCTGTTGCCACAAAGTTGGAAGCATATGATTGTCTACACTGTATTGTATAACAATGCCTTTTCACTGGAATGAAGGGACCTATCCCGAACCCTGAAACCCTCTTCCACCAAACTTTACTATTGGCACTATGCATTCCGGTAGCTAGTGTTCTCCTGGCATCCACCAAATTTAGATTTGTCCATCAGACTGCCAGATGGCTGAGCAGTTGTTGCTTCGATACGCTTCCTTCTCACAAGAACACTTACAGTTGACCGGGGCAGACCTAGCAGACATTTCACAAACTTATCTGAGGCAAAGGTGGCATCATCCTATGACAGTGCCACATTTAAAGTCACTCTCCCATTCTGCTGGCAGTCCCATTCTGCACCAGTGTTTGTCTATGGAGACTGCATGGTTATGTGCTTGATTTTATACACCTGATAGCAATGGGTGTGGCTGAAACACCTGCGCTCAATAATTAGGAGGGATGTCCTCATACTTTTGGACATATAGTGTATGATATACCACATATGCCTTGGTAAGAAAGTGCTTCAAAATTGTCTTGTATGCTGCTTAAACATATCGACTCAGCACTTTTTATATATATGACATTTGGAAACTTCTTTAGTCTCACGAGGTCTTTATGTTCAAACTCTGGCTGTTGTGAGTCACTCTCGTGTAGAGAAAGAGCAACAGTGCAATAATGCTAAATGACCAGAGTTTTCCCACCTTGCCTTTCAGAGAAAAAAAGAAATTCAATCAAGTACACTTCAGGTGAAATAAGTTCTGAAAAAAAAGATCAGAGTTACACTACGTCAGATTTGAGTATTTGGAAACACTCTGATGGAAATGTGTTTGCGTGTAATTTCAAGAACATTTTGTAACTTTAGTTGTGTTTCAGACCCCTTCCCCAAGTGGATGAATCTGATGATTGTGTGCAAACATTTAAAGAGAATTCAGTTTAAACTTGGTAAAGGTCAAGTTTTTTGAGGGTGTAAGTGAATTACCTGTTGTTGTCATCATGTTTTCATCAGTTTATGTTGATTTTGCATTTGAGACCTAGAAATCGAACCCGACCTTCTTTCTGAGCCTGTGCATGTGGCGATAATGCGTAAAGACGCGTGACATGGTCCGAAAACTCCTGCGAAATCCGACTTCATGCCCAAATTATTATTTCAGGCAGCGCAAGGACACCATGTTTTTGCGACTAGTGACTCAGTAGGTGCTACTTCTTTCAGTTTTACCGAAAAAAGATCTTACATAGTGCAGCTTTAAACAAATGCATTTGATCTAATATGAGCAGAAAACCAAGCCAAAAAATGATGCAAAATGCTATTCCGTTGCCAGCAAGCATGTTCAATAAATAAAGCCAGATTTTTACATGCTGAGAAAGGCCCTCTCTTTAAAATAAACAGTTTTAAGCATTACTTAAACTACCCAGCGGGGAGGATTTTCAAGCTTGTTGACACAACAGTGAGAAAGCACTAATAGTAGTAATTATGATGGTGCAGCAAGAAGGTGAGTGTTCTAGAAAAGGACCAGGCCCATTTCACTCGGCTAACCGATACCAAAAAATATGCTGAAAAGAGTTTTCATAGGACATGGATGTTTAAGCTGTTTTGCGTAAGGCATTGCAAGAATGGACACTCATGTTGCATTTGAATGTTATAATGTTTTAAGTGCCAGACTAAGACAGCATGAAAATGTATGGTTGCCACTGTGAATGCTTCCCCTGTGTGCCTGTTTGGGCTATTTACCTGCATGTTTCATGAGTATACTCCTTTAGCCTCTACAGTTCAAGATTTAGGTGAAGAGCACATAACTACCATTATTATCTTTGTTGCTTCTCCCTTTTCAAAAAAAAAAAACAACCAAAAAAAAAGGTATAAATTTACTTGAACCCTAAACACAACCATGCTGTAAACATATTATGTCATGCTGCTTTGAGTCTTCATGACAGATTACTTCCAATAGTGTCCTGTTACCATTACTGGTAATTATGATGACATACATCATAATGTATGATGTCATGATGTTTAACTAGAGTACTAGAAGGAATTAGCATGTGATAGAAGCAGTCATGACATCAAACATAATGACATCTGCCATGACAATTACTAGTAATGACTGTTGTCATGACAGATGCCATAATGTGTGATATATGATGCCTTCTTTTACATGTAAGTGTTTACTATATTTGTTGTATTACTGAACAAAATCTGTCATGAAAACACAGGATAGCATATCATCACTATGTATCTTCATTTTATTAGTCAAATAAATTAAACATTGGCTGATTTAACTGTACAGAAATTGGAATTAACTAAAACAATTCATGATTAGCACAACCCTAGACAACAGCTTGCCTAATTTAACATAAACTCAACTTGATACACTTTAGCACTATTTGGACAGGGATTGGTTTTACATGAGGAGATAGGTAATTTAAAGATTTCTGGCATTTCTTAATGATTTTAGTCCCATCTGAATCCACCATGTCAGTAATTGTCACGGACAGCGCTCCTGAGTCATTAAAAATTCTGGCAGCTTTAACCTACTATTAAAGGAACCATAGAAATAACCCCAGGTTGTTATTTCCTGTGTGAATTACCATGTCAGTAAATATTCCAGCACACACTGTGGAAAAGTAGTTTAAGTATGAAGGAGAAGAAGCGTTTAGCTGTTCTCTGTGCCCCAAATTAAGCAGAGATACATTGTCCTACCTCAAGGGTATGGCTCAGAACATTAAAACACGTAAAATTACAGAAAAAGCCCAGTTGTTGTTGAAATCCATGCTCACCAAATGCAGCCAGGTGATGAATTGCTGGTTGAACATCACAAGTTGCTGCTAACAGACTCTTTTTAACTGGTTTACGTTATATTCTCTGGATATGTTCTGCCCTCACTAGACTAGGCTGAGTGGGTAAACAGAAACCTAACAAGCTAACACTCTAATAATAAAACACAGATATTGAGTTCAAGTCTTCACAGAAGGAGCTACTTAAAAACCAGGACATACAATAAAAAGAATTTCCTGTTATGAGTTTAACTGGAACTG